AGTTTAGAGTGGGTTTTACCCCACATCAGAGGGCGCAGGTATGCGCGAGCTGTTATTACAAGTTTTAAGGCCGTCCCTCAACGCAGCAGCCTCTACCGACCCAAAAAGTTCCATTAATTCCTGCTTGCGGTTGCCCCGTAATTAAAATTGTCTCCCATTCTTCATGAACTCAACAGTTTCCTCATAATGAAGAGAGGCGGATGAAAGAGACCTTCACTGGGAAAAAGGACTCGGTTATAAATATTACATTACTTCATCCACCACCAAAGTTATTTGCCTGCTGGAAACTCAGCCTGGGCAGCCAGGGCCGGGGGGGTGGGCAAGCTCCACCACCCCCAGCAGAAGCCCCCAAGTGCTGGTGGTGTCCAAAAAGCCTCAGCAAGGAAGGTCCCCCCCCATCAGCTCGCCTGTCTCCACCTCTGCCACGCTCCTCCTCTTCCTCCCCTTTGGTTGCTGCGATGGGACACCCCTGAGGGGCAGAGGGGGTGCTGGGGACACCCAGGGATGGCCACGAAGGGCCGAGCCAAGAAGAACATCCCAAAAATGGGATAACGGCCCCTCTGTCACCTCCTGTTTGCATGGCAGCTGCCATCGCAGCCAGCACTGGGGACGAGCCCCATGGGATGTCACTTCAGGGCATGGGTAAACGCGGGCAGAGCTGGAAATCTCTCCCTCTGCTCCTCTTTCTGCCACGCACGGAGCCAAATCCAGCCTAGAAAAGCTGATTTTTCCATCCTTCACAGCACAGCCATCCCAGGCCTCTTCGTTCCCTTACTTTGGCGCACTAAAAAATAAATAAAGCTGCCCGGCCTCCGCCGAGGATGCGCAGAGAAATGGATTTCACTGGCAGAGGCTCCAGCGAGGGAGGGACGGCGCCTGCTCTTCCTCTTCCCTCTTCTGCTCTCCAACCGGCCCCTTCCATTTTATTTCCTTCCGGAAAACTTCCCCGCGCGCCTCCGGGATTAGAGCGATATCCTCTAAAAGCATCCAGCTGCATCAGGACTGGGCTGGGGGTGGGGGGGAAACAGATTGTGCTCAGGGCACCCCAGGTCCCCACCCTGGCTCCGGATCCTGTCCCCCAACATTCCCAAAGTCTTTATGGACCATCCCCCCTGGTATCACCAGCAAAAAGCCTAAAATTCCCAGTGCTCGGATGCCACCCCAGGCACCGCGGGCATCCCTCTGAAGGATGCAGGTGGAGGTGAAGCATCGCCTTTGCCCCCCGCTCAGTGGGCCCACATTGCCAGCGGCATCCATAAATCCCTTGGGATTCAGCCCTGGGTCTTGGCTGCTGGATCCCTGGACCACAAAGCAGCCATCAGGGTCACTGTCACCATCCCACACCCCCCACAGCACGCCCTCGAGGTACCAAACCATGGATGTCCCTATTTAATAACCCCCCCCTAAAGATGCTCCAGCCCTGGACAAACCCTTCCTTCCCAAGGGAAAGCATTTTTGGGGAGCCCCATGCCCAGCACCCCGCTCTTGGACCTGGGATCAATGCCCAAAATGCTTTCTGCACATGGGGAGGGAAAAAAAAAAAGGATGCACGGCCGAGAGCTCAAAAATGAGTTCCATTTTATGCCAAAACACACAGAACCGCGCCTGGAGTCTCCAGAGCCCCCCCGGCATCCTCACCTCTGGCCCCAAATCCTGCAAAAACGAAGCCAAACCAAGTGACTTTTGTTGAATCCTGGAGCGGGCAGAGGGAGGTTTGTCTCCCTCGCCGGGTCTCCGGAGCTCCTCGGCCATGCCGGAGCCTCCATAAACTTCCCTACCCCAGCAGCCACGGGGAAAGGCTTCTTTTTGGTGTTATTCGAAAAATATCCTAAGCCTGCTTTCCAGACAAGGGGAAAAAAAAAAAAAAAAAGGCATAAAACTCAATTAAGAAGAAGCAGGCAGATATTTTAACCACCGCCATCATTTGTGTACTCCATCTGGAGTCCAAAGGCTGCTTTTTTCTTTATTTTTTTATTTTTTTTTTTAGCAGGAGGGAGCTGACATCATCTTAATTTGAAATTCACATTTATTTTTACATCTGGTCTGAATTAATCTTTTTCAGCGTCCTGACTTTCATGTAATGGAATAATTGCTTACAGACTCCGGCTTTAAAGAGCCTGAATAAACCCAGTTTAAAAAAAGAAAGCCCCTCTACCAAACGCCAGTAAAAAAACAGTACCTATAACCGAACCCCAATACGCCTTCAGGACTGGGAGTTTTAAACAAAATAGCATCATTTTAAAACTATTTCATCCCTGTTCTAGCCAAGAATTGGAGAGGGCGAGCGAGATCCGTGGAAAAAACACAGGCGCAAACCAGTCCAGGAACTGGGTAGACTGGGAAAGCTCCATGTGCCCTGCTCCACACTGAAGCATCCTTAGAAAAGCTGAGTTGGGTTTAGAGGGAAAAACATCCTCAGGATGGGGAACGCATGGGCCGTGAGCAGGAAAAGAGGTGATTTGGGACCACAAGATGATGGTGAAAGTTGGGGGGGAGGGGGTGAGGGCCCGGTGGGGATGGGTCTTACTACCACGTGTGGATCAACGGACACGGGACCACCAAGCATGGTTCTGGAAAGCTCAGCTTCACCCTGGGAAACCCGATTTCCTCGCTGCCAGGAGGGCACAACGTCAGTTAAAGCCCAATTTAAGAGCTGTGTGGGTTTATCCTCGCCACTTCCAGAACCCGGTGGGGATTCGCATCCCCAGTGGGAAACATGGAGATCTTTAGTGGCACCACTGGGTACCAGCTTCCACCCATGGGTGAGCGGGGCCCATGGGTGAGGGGGGTCCCACAGGTGACTGTGACCCAGAAAGAGGAGGATCCATGGATGAGAGGACCCATGGGTGAGAAGACCCATGGGTGATGAGACCAACAGACGATGGGATGCACGGGTGAGGGATCCCATGGGCAAGCGCAACCCATGGCCAAGGGGACCCATGTGTGAACACAACCCATGGAGAAGAGGTCTCATAGACAAGAAGACCCACAGGTGAGGGGACCCAATGGCAAGTATGGCCCACAGGGAAAGGGACTCACTGGTGTGACCCACAAGCAAGGGGGTCCCACGGACAAGGGGATGCGTGGGCACGTGTGACCAAGGCAAGGGGACCCGTGGGCATGTGTGACTGAGGGGTGATGGGACACGTGGGTGAATGTGACCCATGGGTCAAAGTTACCCACAGGCAAAGGGACTCATGTGCAAGGCGACCCATGGGTGATGTAACTCATGAGGAAGGGGTCCCACGGGCAAGGGGAAGCATGGACGACCCAGGGGTAAGGGGTCCCGCAGGCCAGAGGGCCCATAGGCAAGGCAACCCACTGGTGACTGAGGCCCAGGGGCAAGGAGTCCCATAGGTGAGTGTGACCCACAAGCAAGGGGTCCCACCAGGCAGGGGGATCCATGGGCATCTGTGACCCATGACCAAGGGGCCCCACAGGCGAGGAGACTTGTGGGCAAGTGTAACCCACAAGTGAGGAGTCCAACAGGCGAAGGGACCCATGGGTGAGTGCGACCCATGGAAAAGTGTGATCCACAAGCAAGGAGTCCCACCAGCCAAGGGGACCCATGGGCAAATGTGACCCACAAGTAAGGAGTCCCATGGTGGAGGGGCTCCGTGGGCGAGCGTGACCCAGGGACGAGGGGATTCACGGGAGAGTGCGACCCACAAACAAGGAATCCCACAGGCGAAGGGACCCATGGGGGAGTGCGACCCACAAGTGAGGGGTCCCATGGTGGAGGGGCTCCGTAGGTGAGCGTGACCCACAAGTGAGGGGTCCCACGGTGGAGGGGCTCTGTGGGCGAGTGTGACCCAGGGATGAGGGGACCTGTGGGCAACTGTGACCCACAAGCAAGGAGTCCCACAAGTGAAGGGACCTGTGGGCAAGGGTGACGCACAAGCAAGGGGTCCCACAGTGGAGGGGCTCCATGGGGGAGTGTGACCCACAAGTGAGAGGTCCCATAGTGGAGGGGCTCCGTGCGGGAGTGTGACCCACAAGCGAGGGGTCCCACGGTGGAGGGGCTCCGTGAGCAAGCATGACCCAGGGATGAGGGGTCCCATGGACAAGTGTGACCCACAAGCAAGGAGTCCCACAGGCAAAGAGACCCGTGGGGGAGTATGACCCACAAGTGAGGAGTCCCATGGTGGAGGGGTTCTGTGGGGGAGTGTGACCCATAAGCGAGGGGTCCCATGGTGGAGGGGCTCCATGGGGAAGTGTGACCCAGGGATGAGGGGTCCCATGGACAAGTGTGACCCACAAGCAAGGAGTCCCACAGGCAAAGAGACCCGTGGGGGAGTATGACCCACAAGTGAGGAGTCCCATGGTGGAGGGGTTCTGTGGGGGAGTGTGACCCATAAGCGAGGGGTCCCATGGTGGAGGGGCTCCATGGGGAAGTGTGACCCAGGGATGAGGGGTCCCATGGACAAGTGTGACCCACAAGCAAGGAGTCCCACCAGACAAGGGGACCTGTGGGCAAGTGTGACCCACAAATGAGAGGTCCCACAATGGAGGGGTTACCTGGGCGAGCATGACCCAGGGATGAGGGCACCCATGGGCAATTGTGACCCACAAGCAAGGAGTCCCACGGTGGAGAGGCTCCGTGGGCGAGTGTGACCCAGGGACGAGGGGACTCACGGGCGAGCGCGACCCACAAGCAAAGAGTCCCACAGGCGAAGGGACCCGTGGGGGTGCGTGACCCACAAGCAAGGAGTCCCGTGGTGGAGGGGCTCTGTGGGGGA